AAAGCCACCCAGCCATGTGTGTGTGTGGTCATAATGATACATCCATCCACACACTCTTCAAAAACGCCCTTGACTCTCCCGCCCTCCCTCCCTCCCCTGCCAGCCGCCCTGCCACAAGCCAGCCAGCCTTTTAGGTGCGTGGCTCGTTGCTCATGACAAAAAAACGGCGCGGCTCTCTCTCTCACTCACTTGAATGTCTCAACGTCACCCCCCCCGCCCCCCTCCCTCCCCGCCGCTACGCCCGGTTGTGGTAGGGGTGGTCAGTTTCGAGCTTGGACTTTTCCTCTCTGGGCGCCATGCCGAGCATTCCGGCGAGGGACTCGAGCACGTCGGTGGACTTGACGATGGCGAGCATCTTACCGCGGTTCTTCTCGAGGATGACGCGGTGGGTCTTGGTGGTGACGAAGGCCTCGAGGATGTCGTGGGCGGAGACGGAGGACTGCAGCTTGAGGAAGGGCACGTCGGGCTGAGGGAGGGAGGGAGGGATGGCACACACGAAGGAGGCACACACACATCAGAGCGCCTGTCACTCTCCCTCTCTCTCTCTCTCTCTCTGTGTGTGTGTGTGTGCGTGTGTGTGTGCCTCACTGACCCTGCAGCCCTTCTCGCGGACGAACTTGACGAAGTCGATGGCCGGCGCGTGGAGAATGTCCTTCTGGGGGAACTGGGCCGCAGCGAGAAACAGATACTGAGCAACAGACAATAAACAACATTCAGCAACACATCCATCCATCTATGTGTCTGTGTGTGTGTCTGTGTGACGTAACAAGGCACCTTGATGTCTCTGGCTGTGATGACCTCCTTCAACTTGGTGGGGTCCATTTCCGACACGATAGGCACGGCGGCGAGGTTGTTGCCCTCCATCACAGCCATGGCCTGCACATACACACACACACAGGGCACAGAGGGGCCGTGTGTGTTTCTATGGCTCTTTGTCTTGTCTCTCTGTGCGAGTGGTGTAGGGGTACCTTGAGGAGGCTGCCCGACTCGAGCATGGTGATGATGGGCTCTTCCAGCGCCTTGCCGAACGACAAATCCTACAGACACACACACACTTGTGTGTTGTGTGTGTGTGGGGGGGGGGGCGGGAACGTACCCGCCCTATCTCCTTGACGACATTGAACTTTTGCACCAGCGTCAGGATGTCCGAAGGGCTGATCACACGCACAAGACGGTCGCCGTCGAAAATCGGCCTGATACACACATGGACACACAGATAGACAAACAGACAGACAGACAGACAGACATGGACACACAGCTGTGTGTGTGGGGCCAGCTGTGGGGTGTTTGGCTTTGGCTGCTTACACTCGTGTGCAGGGTTTGAAGGCGGCGATGATCTGCCCGACGGTGTCTGTGATCTGGTGGCGGATGAAGGGGCTGTGCTTTGATATGTCTGCAGCGTCCACACACACACACACACACAGACACACACACACAGAGAGAGAGAGAGAGAGAGAGAGAAAGGCAAATACAGAGGCCACATTGCACCGAGTGGAGCTCTCTCTCCCTCTCTCTCTAAGGGCAGGGGTGGTGGGAAACGTACTTGCGACGGCGTCGATTTTGGTTTTGCCGGCCATGGTGAGGACCTCTCTGAAGTTCTTGTTCTTCCAATCCTTGTTCATCCGCATCAGCAGATAGCTCACGTCCTGCACAAATCATGACACACACACACACACACACACGTATCCACCTCCCCCCCCTCTCTCTCTCTCTGTCTCTGTCTCTGTCTGTCTGCGCGCGCGTGTGTGTGGCCGGCCCGTTGATCTGACTTACCGTGACGTCCATGAAGGAGTATGTGGGCCGGCTCTTCCGCAGACCGCACCACTTGCGCCGGGGATGGTAGACAACCGCTGTGCGCAGCCTGCAAGAAAGAAAGAAAAACATCCACGTCCACCAGCCAGCTACACAGACGCTGTGAGTGTGTGTGTGTGAGTCCGTGTGCGGCTGCGTAAGCCACTGACCGTCTGTTGTGCAGCATCTCGCAGAACTCGAGCACGGTGACGGTGTCGGGCAGTGAGAGCAGCTCCTGCTTACCCAAACATGACAACACCTGCGCCCACCAAAAGAGACACACACACACACACACAACACCATGTTGACCGAGCCGCCGCCCCCCTCCCCTCCCTCCCACTCACCTGTCCAATCGGCGTGCCGAGCAGTGTGGTGAGCCTGGCCACGCCCGACTGGCCGCTCACGTCCCTCTCCACCCCCTCTCCCTCCCCCACACCGTCTGTGCGAACCGCAAACCCACTGGTGGCTGCGCCATTGTCGGCGTCACCACCAGCGGCGGCATCCGCGGCACACGCCTCGAGGGCGTCGTCGATATCCATGCCCATGCCCTCCTGCTGCTGCTGCTGCGGGGGGTGGTCGCTGTTGTTGACAGGCGAGCCGTCCTGGCTGCTGCCGAGTCCTGCGGGGGCGAACTCCACAACTTTGAGGTCGTCCGACGACCATAGACCGCTCTGTGTGCCGATGCCTGTCATGGTGGACTGAGTGAATCCTGCAGTCCAGATGGCGGCCTTGTGCTGCTGGTGGTGGTGTTTGCCGGCGTCGTGGCCGCCGCCCTTGAGGTGTGTGAGTGAGGTGGACGAGGTGGGCGAGCTGCTGGCTGGAGAGGGGGGGAGGTCGGGAGAGGCGCTCATCCAGCCCTCATGGTCCTCATGCACCTGACACAGCACACAGAAAGACAGACACAGACACACTCAGCAGCAAGCCACAGAGAAGACACACACAGAATTTGTCTACTCACCTGTGGCAGCCTCTGTGTCTTCCCCTCTCCTCCTCCCTGTTGACCATCATGATGTGGGTATTCCTTCGAGTCGCTTCTCAGCGCGTGAAAGGCCTCAGCGAGCGTCGCGGGACAGACGCGGCCTCTCTCCCTCTCACCGGTGCTGCTCTCCTTGCCGGCCTTGCTCAAGTTGCCAGTGACATTCCGCCCCTGGTGCACCACGGCGGCGCTCATCCTCAACGAAACGTCTGGTGTCTGTCGCAAGTAAAATTCGCAACAAGAAGCTCTCAATCACCTGTGCGGACGTGAGGAATGCTTGATGAGAGCAGTTTTTGGTAGGGAAATTTGCGAGCTTAGCTCGCGGAGCCGTGCAGAGTGATGAGGGAGAAAGGTGCAGAGAAAGCAGCGCAGAGCCTCACGCGAAGCGCGTTGTTGAATGAAGAAACGAAAAGAAACAATCAGACATCTCTGTGATCTCTGGTGGTGCGTCAAGTGCAGAGCCACTGCAGACAGAGAGAGAACTCTGTGCACACACTCACACCGTCTGCGCGCCTGTGTCAGTCTGTTTGTTTGTTTGTTTGTTTGTTTGTTTGTTTGTGTGTGTGTGAATGAATGCAGCGCAGCAGCACGTTGGCAACGATGGCGTGTGGCTTAGGCGGCATAGTTGACAGGGAGATCTGCAGGGCATACCGACAGGTGTGCCGGACGGCCGTCAGGGTGTTCGGGGCGGACCTTGAGCCTCAGCTGATGCTGAGGGCTGACGTCAAGAACCTGCTCAGGCGGAACGAACTGGGCTTCACTAAGGAGAAACTGCTCTCGGAGGTGAAATGAGATGGGCGACTGCCTGGCTCGTCCGTGGCCATGTGTGTGTGTGTGTGGGCGGTGTGTGGTGTGTTGGGTGCAGCTGAACAATGCGTGTGTCTATCTGAAGGAGAATGTCGTCCAGGTGCGTGAAAGACAGACAGACAGACGGCTGACTCAGCAACTGTTGCTCCGCGTGTGTGTGTGTGTGTGTGTACGGTCGATGCCACCGATGAAGGTGAAGTACGAGGAATCCCGCGACACCTACCGTGAGCAAAGCAAAGCAACCACACAAACAAACAAACAAACGAACCATCCACTCACTCCCCCTCTCCGTCGGTCCATGTATGGGTCAGAGATCCAACTACGAGAGGATCTGCAGGGCAAAGTGATCGATTTGCGGACCAAAGAGGACTTCCTTGCCGAGATGGAGAGACTGGACGAGAGGGAGAGGAGGAGGGCTGCGAAGAAAGAGAGAGCAGACAAAGAGGGCGGCGCGTCTCCATCGGGAGAGGGGCAGACGACCGGGAAATGACGTATGTGGTTGATGAATGGCGTGCTGGTGGTGTGGTGCGGTGTGGTGTGGTGGAGGGCGGCGGTTTGATATGGCATTGCAGACGAGTCCTTATGTGCGTGTGTGATGGATCTTGTACAGAGAGCATATATGTGCTGGTTGGTCTTGTCTGTCTTTTTTCTGTAAGTGAGATAGAGTGGCTGGCTGTCTGTCGTGACATCCGCTCCCATCAAACCGATCGCTAATAGAGTCCCTGTCAAACCGATCGCACGCTTGCTGGGATCCTCACTCGCAACGTGTGGCGAAGAGGGCGTGAGAGGTTCTTCCAAGGTAGGCCCCACCAGGCTCTGTGCCGTGCCATACGCCTCCCCTGACTCTGACTCTCTTCTGTTTGATGGCTGGCAGTGAGTGACACGGGACCGTCATGGCTGACGGGCGGTCGCAGGCCCCCTCGACGCTCGAGTCGGTGACGGGCGAGATGGTGCAGAATATGATGGACGACATGCGCGGCGCCATGGACAGAGAACGACAGCAGAGTGACAAGCGCATCAGCGAACTCGAAAGCCAACGCGACGAATACAAAAAGAGAGGGAGGCCTACAAGAAGGAGCGAGATGAATACAAGAAAGAGAGGGATGAGTGGAAACGCCGATGTGAAGAGGTACACACGGACACGCAAGCCATGAGGCAGAGAGAAGTACACCAACACGCTGTCTGCGTGTGTCTGCAGGCCGAGGGGAAGCTGAAGGCCGCCTTCGAGCACGAGCCTTCGTTGGCGAGTCTGCATTGGGAGGGCGGAATGTACCACGGCAATGTCCGCAACAAGATGCCCCACGGTGAGGGCACTCTGCGCACACTGACGGCCAGAGCTCACTCTACGAGGGCCAATGGATGGACGGCAAACGGCACGGCAAAGGCAAGGAATACGCCCCATGCCAAGTGCGCAACCAGCAAGGCGGCCAGTATGAGACCAAGATGTGTCTCGTGTATGAGGGCGATTTTGCGGAGGGCAAGCGGGAGGGACGGGAGGGCACCGAATACCAAGCCATCAACGGGCAAATGGTGCAGGTCTATGAAGGAGAATGGAGAGCCAACAAGCGGCATGGACAGGGCAGGGAGCTTCCCCACTACGATTCGAGCACAGGACAACAGATTCTCGAGTACAAGGGGGACTGGATGGACGGCAAGAGACACGGCAAGGGTGAGGAGCTTACTGACGGCAAGGTGATCTACAAGGGCGGTTGGGCAGATGGAGAGAAGAACGGAGACGGCGTGGCGACGGGCATGCGGTGGGAACAGAATTACAGATACCACGGCCCGACACGCGACGGCAAAGCGCAGGGCGAGGATGGGGAATTGCGAGATGGCAACGACCGTGTCGTCTACAAGGGCGACTGGCAAGACGGCAAGCGGGAGGGAAACGGTGTCGAATGTGCGATGTACAGGCAGAAGGAGGTGAAGGTCTACGAGGGAGAGTGGAGAGACAACAAACGGCATGGCCGAGGGACAGAGTTCCACCATGAGGACGGCCAGCTGTTGTACGAGGGCGAGTGGGTCAACGGACAGAGGACAAACATAGGAGAGGGAAGGGTGGGCTTCATGCCGCTCCAAGACGACAAGAAAAAGCTGGTGGGCTACTATCACGGCGAGACCCAACACGGGGTGCCAAATGGGAAGGGGGAACTGCGATATGGCATCAATGTCGTCTACAAGGGCGATTGGCAGGACGGCAAACGGAACGGGAAGGGTGTCGAGTACGCAATGCATAGTCAGAAGATGGTGAAGGCCTACGAGGGAGAGTGGAGAGACAACATACGGCATGGCCGAGGGACAGAGTTACGTCATGAGGACGGGCAGCTGATCTACGAGGGCGAGTGGGCCAATGGAGAGAAGACAAAGAGAGGGAAGGGAAAGGTGGGCTTCATGGAGCTCGAAGGCGACCAGGGACAGGTGCTGGGCGACTATCACGGTGAGACACAAAACGGGCAGCCAAATGGGGAAGGGGAAATACGAGATGGCAACAATGTTGTCTACAAGGGCGGCTGGAAGAACGGCAAGCAGCACGGCCAGGGCAAGGCATACTACGGCTACGGTGGTGGTCCTATGTTGTGGTTCGAGGGTGAATGGCGGGAGGGCCTGGCCCACAGCGGCACCCTCTTCCCGGACGGCCACTGGAGTGCGTACAAGAATCCTGACGGCACCCCCTATTGTCCCATCACGCCCATTCGATGGCAGGACGGACAGAAGATACCCGACAGGGACCTGGACGGTTATGGGACGAAATTGTATGAGTGGCTGCAGAATCAGGGTCTGTCGGGGTATTTCCCTGCTGATGCATTCTGACAGCGAGCGTGTCTCTTGCCGCCCGGCTGTCTGGCTGTGTGTGTCGTCTGTCTACGGTTCTGTCTTTGCATTGGAGGGAGGGAGGGAAGCAGTGGCTGCTCTTCTCCTTCTTCTCTCTCTTGTATGGCTGCCTGGCTACCCATTGGTGAAAGTGTGTCGGACAAGAGACTGAGGACTCACACGCATCTGTGCATGGCAGTGGTATTTCGATTGTTGTCGGCCCTCCATCTGTGAGCAGTACAATCGACCGATACGCTGTCTAAGCACTCCCATCAGTATCTTGTCGATTGGACACGTCTGTATGTGCCTGTCTCTCTGGCTGGCCGACTGGCTGCGGGATTGAATGATCGATGGCCGTCTTCCTGCCGTCTTCCGTGTCTAAACAGAGGCCAGCCAGACAGACAGGGAGGGGATAGTGATCGAGTGGGTCTCTCGTGGGCGCCTGTCTCGCGTGTCTATCTGTCTCCCCAGACAGTAGGGCACAGCGTGAAACCGACATCGCGTGTCGTGTCGACTTCGCGCGATTTTCGGCGCTTCCAAATCATCAGAGATGATGAGAGCGATCGGCCTCCCTTCTTTTGGCGTGTGCGTTACCGTCCTCATTGCCCTGGCCACCGTGGCTGCCTCTCAAGAGTCTGACCTGGAGAGATCCGACGCCGACCAGAGGGCCTTACAGTTTGGTACGCAGTGGGAGAGGACAGCCTGACCTGACACAGTGTCTTTTTGAAAGGGGGGGTAGCGAAAGGCAGGCAAAGACAGTCATTGGAGGGAGATCTCCCTACCCCCAAATCATCATCACGTCGGTTCCCGCGTGTCTTTTGCTGTGTGTCTCTTGCAGGGGGCCTTCCCGGGTTAATCACTGATCTGCTTGAAAGCGGAGATGACGGGTACGGTACGCCGGCATCCGTACGTCTCTGTGTGTGTGCGTGAGAATCGTCGTGTGCGCATCGTCTTGCGTCTTGCGTCTTGTGTGTTGTGGGTAGAGATCCGGACGGTGAGCCGATGAACCGCAAGAACGCCATCTTCTGCGACGACCCTCTCGCAACCTCATGCGACCATCGGGTGAGTGAGTGATTGCCACCACACATACAAACCAAACCCACCACCTCTCTCTCGCCCACCCACAAGGACGGACGCCTCCATGCCTCTCTGTGCAGGGCAGGACCACCCGCAACGAGCGGTTCAAGGAGTACACCCCGGTTGACAGGGAGGAGTTAGACCGTGAGCGTGCGGAGAGAGACCGTGAGCGTGAGGAGAGGCGCAGGGAGAGGGAGAGGGAGAGGGAGGAACGGGAGAACCTCTTCGCGTCCATCGCTGGTCGCCGGGAGAACGACAACCAGAACCAGATCGGAAGTGGGCTGTTCGGCCTGAGAACTCCTCCTAATCCGATAGCCGTAGGGCATACCCTTGCTTCCATCCCGCCCTCCGTAATGCTCCCTCCCTCTCTGTGTCTCTGTGCGCATCTCTTCAGGGCCCTCCCGCCCTGTTCCCCGGCCAACCGCAGCTGCCTCAGTTCGGTGGAGGAGGATTCCTCCGCCCGCAACAGAGGCCTGCAGGTGATGAAGAGAGCGAGAGCACGGCGGGGGCCATCATGACAAAGGAGGACGCTGCTGCCGCCGGTGCCGGGACCGGTGGTGCTGGTGCTGGTGGTAGCGGTGATGCTGGTGCTGGCAGTGGCAGTGGAGGGGGGGAGTGGGGGATTGCTGTGGGGGCGTGGGGAGGGCGCTAGCTAGGGGGACACTAGGTTGTGATTGTGGCGTGGTGTGGTGTGGTGGGGGATGCGGGTCGGTCCTCGGTGTTGCCATTTTCTCTCTCTCTCGGTCGTGATGAGATCAGATGCGATGAAATGTTTGTTGCATGCAGAGATCTGTGCCAATTGTGGTTTCCCGTGCCCCTCTGTGTGTGTGCCTTGACGTGCCTATGTGCCTCTTTGCTGGGGGGAGGGAGCTTGCTGCTTCTTCAGTGGCGTCAGTTGGTTAGGCTGGTGTCTCTGCCTCTTTGCCTCTGTCTGTTCAAATTTTGGCCGCGGCCGCTTTGGCCGCCCGGGGCACCTAGTGGGTTGACAGTGACAAAGACATTAGCACTAGCGCAACACACACAGAGACACTGACTGAGGCACAGAGACACACAGACACTAGCACCGTTCTGACCTATCAATCAACGCACACACACACACACACACGTCTGTGTCTGTGTCTGTGTCTGTGTCGATGTCTCAATGAATGGCTTCTATCTATATGATGCCGCTGGCCCAGAAAAAGTCGTCCATCAGGTCCACCTCGTCGCTGCCTGCACAACAACCATCCACACACACACACACATCCATCCATCGATCCGTCGATCCATTGGACGTACACACCGAGGAAATCACTCTCAGGCAGCAGCACCACGTTGTCGTTGTCTGCGACACACACACACACAGAGGTGTGTGTGTGTGGTTGGTCCTCGCTCTGTTAACGACACCTCACCTGTCTGCACAGCCGGGGAGGTCGGTGCTGGTCGGTAGCACACGCACACACACACACACAGAGAGAGAGAGAGAGAGAGGGGGGGGAGGAGAGAGAGGGGGGA